TGAATGAGATATGTGTGCGAAAAATGCAGGGACTGTTACTATTGCTTACCACGGCCCTGGCCTGTGCTGTGTGCTCCGGCAAAGGCTAAGCAGAGAGAACCAGTCCTAACCATCCTGCCGACTGTACAAGGGAGAGGTTTGGCCTTTGCCGGAGCCCACACTCGGAGGCCGTGGTTGGGCTCCTGGTTTTAGTAAGAAACGCGGATTCCGTATTACGTTGCGAGACAAAACTGGGATTCTTTCCCTTCTGAACAATAAAACGGGGTTGCACATGCAATAACCCTTCTAATTTTGAGATAATTTCAAGAACGCATTCGTGCATCTGTCCCGAACTAACGGGGGAGATGAAACAATTGGGTTATTGACTTACTTCAGCGACCGGAGATTTAACTGCTAAATATATATTGAATAACGGATTTATTTTTCATTTGTTACCGAAGAAAAGCGCCTTAAATTTATTCAATTTTTTTACACTGTCTACATTACGAGTAGTTTGCGTCAACCACCAACTTCGGTAAAACGAAACAAAATCTTAATAAAATCACCCCAAAATTTAATTTCACTTACTTTTACTGTGATACTCCACTCCCAAGTTCCTGTCTCCAACGGCTTGAAGAAATAACACAAAAAAGTAAAATAAATAAATCACACCCACACCGAGCCACAGCCACACACCCACCACCTGTAAAATCCAACTCCGCTCTGATCGTTTTTTGAATTGCTTCGTGGCTGGGAACCTAGTTGGTGTGCGAATAAGAGGGTTCGTTCTGTTGGTGTGTGAATATAGAAAAAAACGCATTGGTTGATTTATCTGGTTTATATTAAATCCACTATGTACATAAATTTACAGAAAATGTCTCCTTGTAAGTAATTTTTAAATCTCATAAATTGTGATTCATTTACTTGTTATTTTTTGGGTTTTTATTTGATGTGTTAGAACTTTCTTCGAATCAGCTCCGAAGCTTTTTTATCATCATTTTTGTTTTCTTTCTTTCAAAATCAGTATCGCGAAATTACCCTATGGTTGATGACAATATATCTAAGGCGAAATATTTACTTCATGGTAATAGATTCATCAGATACAAAAACCTTTATTCGGTTCGAAAATCACGAACACATGTATGGAATCTGTCGATCAATCAATCTCAAATTATTTTTCTCTGTCATATATATATATATATATATATATATATATATATACATATATATATACATATATATATATATATATATATATATATATATATATACATATATATATACATATATATATACATATATATATATATATATATATATATATATATATATATATATATATATATTATACATATATCATATATATACATACATATTATATATATACATACATATACATATTATATATATATATATATATATATATATATATATATATATATATATATATACATACATACATATACATATTATATACATATATATATATATATATATATATATATATATATATATATATATATATATATATATACATACATACATATACATATTATATACATATATATACATATATACATATATATATATATATATATATATACATACATACATATACATATTATATACATATATATATATATATATATATATATATATATATATATATATGAGTGTGTGTGTGTGTGTGTGTGTGTGTGTGTGTGTGTGTGTGAGTGTGTGTGTGTGTGTGTGTGAGTGTGTGTGTGTGAGTGTGTGTGTGTGTGTGTGTGTGTGTGTGTGTGTGTGTGTGTGTGTGTGTGTGTGTGTGTGTGTGTGTGTGTGTGTGTGTGTGTGTGTATTACCCCCTGGATGGAACTGATTTAGAACTCATTTTCCTAATAAACCAATGCTTAACACTCAAATTTACATATATTCATAAATTTTATAAAATAAACTCAATGCTCTTATATTTTCTTGATCAAAAGCTGATGCCACTCAAAGTCTAGGGTGAGTTGCCAGTTTTTCATTTCCTGAACACACTGTACTATCTATCAAGTTGTAGGCCTACACAATATGCTGGAAATGGTTCTTTGCCTGCTTCTCTCTCTCTCTCTCTCTCTCTCTCTCTCTCTCTCTCTCTCTCTCTCTCTCTCTCTCTCTCTTAACAAATACCAACCTTGCAAGAGATTGGAAGCCAATGGTTCTAATTTCTCACTTGAGTTGCTATTACTTCATTAAAAAAATAAAAGTAATATTACTGTGATAATAGAGATTATAATATTTAATATAATAATGGAAATATTCAAAATAATAAAACAGTAATAATAATAATAATGATAACAATAATAATAATATTGAAAATGATAATAATAAATATAATAATCATAACAATAAAAAAAATATATAATGATGATAATAATATTATAAAAAATAATAACAATAAGAATGATGGTTATTTATAATGATGGTAAGAATGATAATTATAAGAATATCAATGAACAATAAAGATATAAATAATAGTATTAATATTAATGGTAATAATGATAATAACAACGATAATGACAATGACGATAATGGTAATGATATTGATGGCAACAATAATGATAATAATAATAATAATAATGATAATAACAGTAATGATGATGATAACATCAAATATAATGATATTGATAATAATAATAATTAAAAAAAATAATAATAATGATAATAATATTGACAATAATAATAATAATGATGATAATAATAATAATAATAATAATAATAGTAAAGATAATGATAAGAATGAAAACAACAGTGAACAGTGAAAATAAGAATAATAATCATATAATAATGATAACAATGATAATAACAATAAGAATGATAATAATAATAACTACAAAAGGATAACAATAAAAAAAATAATGCAATTGAAGTCTATTTTACCTTAATTCTATCTAGAATATCATCACCCCATTAATATTGTTTTACACATAAGAGAAATGTAGCTAACACATTCTCACATTCTTGAATTATACTATAAATGCATAGTACTAGTAACAATACATGATACTTGGAATAAATTGTTGGTCATGCATTTAAAAATCATCAAATTCATTTTTCATGAACTCAGGCTTTTTGTATTTATATAATTTGTTTATCATTTGGTCATGATATCACTTACTTGTTCTCTCTCATTAAAAAAGTGAAAATTATTCATGTACATTGTCCTACTTTGGATAAAATTTGGTCATCTCTGGAACTCAATTCAGCTGATTTCCTTTAATGACCAGAAACTTATCGCAAGATTTTATCAGCATTATTAGCCCTATAAACATGAAATTAATGCTATTATATATAATGATTCTAATTATCTATTATTATTGTTATTATCATCCGATGGTGATGTGTGCAGCACCTGTATGTAAAATTTTAATGTACATACAATGTCCTTTTAATTGTCACTGAAATTATTGTTTTCCATAATACATGGAAGTAATAGAAGAAAAACAATCAATAAAAGAAACAATATAATAAACAAATAAGAAAGATAAGTGAAGATAGAAGAAACAGGAGGAAAGAAAAAAATACAAATGAGAGAAAAGAAGAGGAAGGAAGAGGAAGTATAAAGGAGTAAATGCTCAAAGGGTCACTGCAATAACGTGGGCAAATTCTGTCCCTGTATTTGGAGCTCAAACCCCTGTGGTGATTAGGATTTCGACTCTTTCTAGGGTAATGCCATGTGGTATTTGACATCTGCCTATCTTAGATTTGTATTTCTTATAAGGAATTGAGATAGATTGAGACTAAGAATGAGAGTTTAGAGAGAAACTGAATGGAGGAAGTATTACACAATAAAATGTGAAAGACATGATCATTGTAATATAAAAAAAGGGAGTAGAGGAAGATAGTAAAAAATAATTTATTTTCCAGTAGTATAGATTAAACAGAGATGAGAGGGATTAAAGGGAAGGCAAAGGGGTGGGGGAGAAAGGACAAGAAAATGTGGGGGATGAGAGTGATAGAGGAGAGAAAGAGACATGATGAGAGAGGGAGACAGATCCAGAGAAGAGAAATGGGGATAGGGTACAGAAAAAATCAAGAGACTGGAATAAAGGAAAGGAGGAAGAGGGACAGAGTAATAAGTTATATTAGAATTCAAATCCCACACTGTCAGTGATGATAAACCTGGCCATTCCTTGCACACATTGTTTAATGCAAACATAAACAGACAGCCAGAACCAAGAATAACAATCATAACATATGGAATGAAGGTAAATCATATTATTTATTAATTTGATAGTATAATTTGATACGCCCTTCATCAGCTGGTCAAGTGAGATCACTGGTAGCTGTGTTCAGGTCTTGAATAGCAGCAATATTTTCAATAATAATAACAAAGCTAGTTGTAGTTTCCTTATCATTACTAATGTGGGGAATCTCCAAGACAGTTTGCTCTGTAGTGGAAGTCACTTTTCTCGCTGACTGTATGATCATGGTCCTATGTGCCAGTGTTCATACAGTACAGGGTCACAGATTAAATGGAGTGGGTCTGCTTTTATACTAAAAGTGCATTGAAGACTGACAGGACACCTTAGAGAATTCTGAACTCAGTTATTTTTGTTATTAAGCTGCTACAAATTTGACCTAAAAATCTTGTGCACGGCATACTGTTATTCCTGAAACATTTTCATTGTCATTTTCATTCTATTTATACATTTTATTACCCTTTCTCTTTCAATAAGGACAAATTATATTTGCATTTACCAGTTAATACTTCCTAAATACTAGTTTGACTATAATCACTTCATAAATATTCAACTTGCACTTAAAATGGAGTAACAATATCTGGCTTCCTTATAATAATTTGGTTTGTAACTGATGTCCCAAACAATGAAATCACTGATTTCTGATATCTTCACACATAAAAGTGAATATCTTCCAAAGCTTAGATTGCCAGTAAAAGGTTAGAATTTAAAATAAATTAGTTTCCACTAAACTCACCCAAAACTCGGCCTGAAACACAGGTAAGGACTGAAACAGCTCGTAAAAAAACAATGGCATATGGAGTAGAAATTTTTATTATCATTCTTCTCACAATTTAATTCCTTACATTGCCTTTGAACAAAACCATGGGAAAGGGGACAAACAAGCTATGATGAAACCTTACGAAAAAAATAAATAAATTAATAATAATGAAAAAAGTAAAAATACAGGAGGAAAATTGTAACATGATAAAAATCAGTAACTTTACCCTAAAATCCTAAAATATTGACCCTACAATGCTAGTGTTGCCCCCTCCCTAACAATGCACTTGTCTAAGTGATGGTAGTTTAAAGTCAATATTATCAATAATAATAATAATAATGTGCTTGCCAACAAAGGCAAACAACATGCCACGTGGATGGATGGGTCCAGAAAGGTTGAGGATGTAACCTATATTTGTATATAAAAAAAAGTAATAACATTGATGATACAAATAAAACAATACAGAACAAAAAAGGTATAGATCAAGTGAGACGGTGAAAAGAGATAGTAAAACTAGATCTGAAACTTAAATATTTTGGTGGATGCCATGTGTGAGATGTGTTCATTTTGCATTCCTTCATACAATATACTCCAATAAGTGTATTTAATTGATAATAGTTCCATAATACTGTTATTATGGAGGCATGGGTAAAGGGCTCTAAGAAATTACAATATATATATGAACTTTTGTAAACTTCCAAAACAAGAGAGAGAGACTTGTGGGAAAGCGAGACGTGACAGTACTCTGCTGCAGCTGGATAAACACAAAGCGCCACTGTTTGCATGCTTGCCGCCCTAATGCATCTGCTGCGGAATTTAATCTTTGAGACGGAACAAAAAACAGCGTCAGGGGAGTAGTTATGGACGAGGTATGAAGAGGTGAATGGACACGGCAAGATCCCTGTGTACACAAGCTGTGGATTTGTAACATGGCTCCTTCAAAAGGCTCATATCGATACACCATGCTCCTTTTCATGTGACACTGCCCTAGCCTTTGGTTTTGGGGAAGTTGCAAATGTAGGGGAAAAAGTATAAATATCACAAAATCCTTCCTTAAACTTTGGTACAAATCATTATCAATCAGTGATGAACAGTTTTTCATCAGTATTTCAAAGCACAATGGTTGGTAAGCATTTTAAATTTTCTCCATCTTTGAGAAACTACAAACTTCCCCACAAGATTTGCTCTCTGAAAGGCCAGCTTGACTTCCCATTACCTTTCTTTTATCAAGATGACCAACCTTGACTTCCTTTGCCCAATACAAAGCCAGAAATCCCTTCGACAATGAGCAAGATAATCAGCCTAGATATTCAGTAAAATCCACATTCTATAAAGCGATTCTTTTTTGGGGGGATCTCACACTATACAATGAATGTTCAAGATTCACAAAAACCCTCACAAAGTCTACATTTAGATGAAAAGCTTCAACCCCAGAGGAAGAAATTTTCTCTCAAAAAAGCCTGGATACCTAATCTTGAAGGAGGTCTGGCTGGCTGGCACGTGTGTCGGCCAGCAAGCGTGTGGCATCCCATGGGTAGTAGCGATGGTGCCGCATTGGTGCATCCCCTCTCCTGATTCCAGGATGTGTAGTGGTAGTGGTAGTGGAAGTGGTGGTGGTGGTGGTGCTTGGTATGTTAGGTATGTCGGCCGTCTGGAGGGGTTTTTGGGCTTCGGGAGGCTGTGTGATGAACAGGCCAGCTAAAAGGTTGTGCCCTCGGGTGGCTGTGTGAGTTTCATGTTTTCCTTCTGGGTCATTAAGCGCCTCAACTCTTGCAGCACTGTCTTGATTGTGTAATTTCTTTGCCAGCGTTCAAGTACAGACACATGTCGACGATCCACCTGTGGCAAAGGCAAAAGTTCCGTGAGGTGTTCTTTTGGTATACATAAAAATTCTGTATAGAAAATAACCTAATTTACAAGCCAATGCTCTTTACTTCCCTACTCACTCTTTTATTTTTCAATCCCATATGAATATCAATTACATAATGCTGAATTAAATTTCAATTTTTGCATAGTTTATATGTACAAAGCTTTCTAGGCACAAACATATCAAGACAATGGTTCAAATATTTTTTTACCTCACCACAAGATTAATTCTATTTTAGTAATGTTCCACTGATCAAAGACTAATACCTAACTTCATTTCTGAAATGTCCTTACTGTAATAACAAATGTAAGGTACTGCAAATGGTTACGTTTCCTCTTAAGGGAAGATAATGAATAAAAAGATGAAGAGGAAAGAAGGAAAGAAAGTCAACAGCAACTGGGAAAAGGAGTAGTAGAGGAAAGCACAAAGAAGAAGAGAAAAATAACAGAAGAAAAGCACAAGAAGAAGTGAAAAGTAACAGCGAAAAGTAACAAATAAAAAATAACTAAACACACTCTGAGAAAAGAAAGGGAAAACAAGTCCATGTTCTAATGGCCAGATCCAGCCCTGGTCCTAGATTTATCTCTAGTTATCTAGAGATCATTACTGTCCACAAAAATATAGTAGAATGCTTTAGATCTGACCCTATACTTTCACAGGCAGTGTTAATTCCTTAACCCAATGGTGCCAGGAAAAAACTGTGCTTATTTAAGAATATTTGGTGAAATGTCTCAGCATGTGCATAGCCACAAAGGAGTCAGTTAGTAGACCTTGTGACCTTATCTGATTTCCCTTCCCTTGAATAATTTTTTTTAACTAATGCTATCAATATTGCTGGTGTTATTTTAATCATAGACTTTACTAAAATCATACATTTCAAAAATCAAGGGAGAGGGTACAGAGGTGAGACAGGTAGTACTTGTAAATGGCTCTTTAGTGACTTAGTACAAGTGAAGCCATTTATGTGTGAAGACAATTAATGAAGTAAACTCACAGTGGGTATGGCATGTACGTTCATGCTATACTTGAGTTAACTGAGTTTGATTCCTGACTTTTGGGATCAGATCTAGTAGATTTTGGGATTGAATCTACGTGAATTTGAAATATTTTGATGGCAAAACATTCTAGTCATTATTAACCCAAAGTGCTGGGGATGGCAGGTATTGCCATTTCTACTGAGGGTTTAATTCAATAATTGTTTTTACACATAGATGGCTCCACAAGGTCACATTGATTGACTCTTTTGCAGTTAAGTATTTACAGAGTCATCTATGTGCAGAGACATTTCACAAAACATTGCTACAGTGAACAGAACATTTTCCCAGTCTAAAATGAACACACAAGGACCTTCTAAGATCATCTACAAAAGTGTACATTTCATAAAATACCCAACTTCCCCCATACTTACCACTCCTGTCTGGCTGTTGACTCCCTGCATGTTGATCCGACTGATAAAGCGAATATTTGGGGGCTCATCTGGGTATCTTGAACCACAATCTACCTTTAATGAGTACATCCGATTCTCAAAATTTGTCTGCAAATAAAAAGAAAAAAATGTTAGTGTCATCTTTCCTAAGGAATACCAATCTGGTTTTGTAGTTTACATAAAAAGAGAGCTTGTTCAAACATTTGTTGCTTTTCTCAATCCTCTAAGTACAATTAATGGCAATTGTCATAAAATACCCGAGAACAAACTACAAAATAGAGCAATTGCCATGTTGTGTGCCTCATCTTTCAAACTGAATTCCTGCTCTTAACCTGGGGCAACATGACATACAGGCCATGTTCCCTGTGATTTTAGTGCATCAATTTCAGGAACACAATCATTGCTCTAGAAATGCTAGATCCCCAAGGAGTCAGTTTCCAGTCCTACCTGATCTCATTGTTTACCCTTTTGCCTCCCCTTTGCAATGTTATCTCTTTTTCTGTGTGTATACGTATATCTATATGTATATATGTATGTATACAGGGCCGGATTATTCTAATGGCTAGTATAGGCTGCAGCCTAGGGCCCCTCAAGCTTGGGGGCCCCAAGCTTGAGGGGCTTGGATATAAAAAATCTGTCTTTTATTCACTACGGTTGTGTTGAAATAGAGTAAAATAGTGGTATTTAAAGAATATTTTTATTGACAAACAAAAGATAGCTATGCTACTTTATTTAAAGAATTTGCAATAGGTTTACTTCAAGCTATGTAAATGTCGCTAAAATATATCATGAGTAAAAAATATTCTGAGGGGGCCCCATAATTTCATTAGCCTAGTGGCCCCAAAAGGTCATAATCCGGCCCTGTATGTATATGTATATATATGAATATGTACAGGATCCTGTGCATAGAAAGTGTCCTTCCTGGAGCCAGCACTAATCCAGGTATGGTTCATGCATGGTACATTCCACCCTTGTTTACCAGGGGAAATATTGCAAGAGCCCCTTCCTAAATGTCCAGAGTCTACGCACTCATGGCGAGTCATTCCCTACACCCCTGCCTTCAGCTGAATTTCTCACTGATGGCCCTTTTGTATCACCCAAGCCATCGGCCAAAATTTTCTGACACCATATTCCCATCACTTAGCCATAAGCCAAAAACTTCAATGCATTTCTCACATTGCCTGCATCTAATGAGTTAACAGTATTTTTGGAAGATGAAGAAAGTAAAATACAAGAAATGAGAAAATCAAGTGAAGTGAATTAGGGCTACTAGTTATGAATAAGCACTTGTGGAGCCATATATGAGTCAAAAAGATTCACAAAGCAAAACTAAAGTGATAGTACATGCACATGATGCCAGTGAGTTAACCCCTTGGTGCCGGGTGACGCTGATCGGCGTGAAAACAAACCGCTAGAAAGCTGGCGTGCAGCCGTACGCCGCGGCAGTGCGCCAAAGCGCAGCGAGCCAGTGATTCGGGCTGATGTCCCCTACCCACGCGCTCAAAGTCTTTGTTTGCTAGAGCGTAGAGTTTTTGTTTTGTTTTGTACACCCGGTGTCATTGGGTTAAAAGAAGAAGAAGAAGAAAAAAAAAAAAAAATCAAAATAAGCTGTCTCTGACTTATGTTATGATAGCTTGTCACAATTCATGTTGGTAACTATATGTGCACAAATCTTGTGAATTCTATACCTTCCCATCCTCTGAGTGCCATTACGGTTCAGGTAGGTTGCATTAAATACTAAAATAGTGGTAGGAGGGGGATATTTAAAGGTGGTGATTTACAATTAAGCAAATATATATATATATATATATATATATATATATATATATATATATATATATATATATATATATATATATATATATTTTAATGGAATAAATTCATTTCTTTCAATAACCTTTGCCTTTCACTTGTATTAGCTCTTTCTGAACAATATGTGGAGCAAATTCCCTATTAGGTATACTATCAAAACGGACACAGGTAATTCTTTATAGAGAATCAAATATTATGAGCTATAGAATGTAGCCTTCTCAGAGTACTCAACAAGTACCTGCAATAATTATAGAGTTTAATATGAAACTGACCCTAAGTATAACTGTCAGGCTAGAAAGGATTGAGAAGGTAGGTGGGGAGGAAGGGAAGCTCAAAAACTTTGTATTGTGACAGTGTTTTTTTTTTCTTAGCATGGTAAATATAGTCAAGATATAATTTTAAAAATAAAAATACAGGGCTACTACATAATTCGGTGCAGAGTTTATACAAATAAAATGCATTATATAAAATTTTTCATCAGATTATGAACTAACTTCGTGGTATGTGCAAGCTCTTACGAATGATACTGTTTATGCATTTGAAACCAGATACCGTGTTGATAATCTTAATGCACATGCCATTAAAACCTGCAACACAGTATACACATCATTGGAGTATGCAAAAATCATCTGATTTTTTTGTGATAAAGTGGTTGTGTAGCTTTGCCATTAGATTACACTGATACGAAGCTCTTCATAAAGACACTTGGGAGTATTTCTATTAACTGGAACAAAAATCATAGAATACAACCAACTGCATTACTTATGAACACAACTACTGAGGTATCATTTTACATGCATTTCTCGGGCATTTTTTATTATCATTATTATTACTATTATTATTATCATATATGTTTTAAAACTTACCCTAGGTGGCCCTATGATCATGCCAGTCCAGTTGGTAAGGGTCATGTCTGAATCATCCTCCAGTCCCCACGAAATGGTGCCATCTCCAACGCCCTTCTGGCCAGCTTCCAGTTCCTCCAGAAGGCGGAAGTTGCGTGGAACAACTGCAAATTAGGAAAGAGGTTAAAGGAGAAGAAGAGGAGAGACATCAGTATGGAGATATGAAATTATTCTATGGGGCTTCCCCATGTTTCATAAAATCTAAGTAGTTTACTTCCATACTTCAAAGGGTAAATTCTCAACCAATGGTCTTCATTAACAAGATGAAGTTCATATATTTGACAATTGCATGCCACATAATTAGACACTTTGCATATGACAAGTGGGAACCTAGCTGGTTCTTATACATATGGAAGAGGTCAGCACTGCACTAATTAGTAATCTTCCTAGAACAGATAGTAAATGCAAAAGTTGGTATACATAAGATTAAAATTTATAAAAGAGTGGAAGCAGAAAGGAGAAAAACTGATTTAGAACGGCATAGCAATTGCTGCTTCACTACTGACCAGAATGTGTCTTGCTCTGAGTTATATTCAGAGAGGTAGACATCCTTTGAGAGGTCAGTTATTTTTATGAAATTTTACAGTCATTATCACACATAAAAAAAGAAAGAAAGAAAAAAAAAAAAAAAAAAAAAAAAAAAAAAAAAAAAAAATATATATATATATATATATATATATATATATATATATATATATGTATATATATTACATATATAATATATAATTTTTGTGAAATGTCTCTGCACATAGATGGCTCTGCTAGTGCTTAGCCACAAAGTTGACCTTGTGACCTTACCTAATTTCACCATTGCTTAAATTGGCAGGAAAAACATATTTTTTACTGATGCTATGAATATCGATGGTGTTATTTTTAACATAGAAATTATAATTATTATAATGTTATAAACATTTGTAACTGCAAAATAAGACCATGTAAAATATTTTAGAAAATCAAGGAAAAGGGTAAACAGGCAAGACAGGCAGTACTCGTAACTGGCTCACTGGCGACTTACAACAAGTGTAGCCATCTATGTGTAAAAACAATTAAAGAAGTAAACTCACAGTGGGCATGGTACGTACATGCATGCCATGCCCGCCGGCATTGGGTTAACGTAATCCCTGCATCTATATGACTGTTGGGACTGTCTAGAAGTATCTTAACCGCTTGTAGTAGATTTTAACAGTTTTGTAAATTATTATTTATACAAATAATGAAATGCTCCTTGCTAAGTTCCATATTTCAGAAGAGGAAAAATTAGTTCTTGAAGAAGCTTAAAAATCACAATCCCCCAATAAACAAAAACACCTAATATACACTACATAACCAACAGAGGAATGTGGCTTTAAAAAAATAAAATTCCTTAATAGTTTATCAGATCTTTATTTAGGTCTCTTTGGTAACTAAAGTATCATAGATAAACGTAATTTTCGAACCTGTTGTTGAAAAACAATATGCAGCTAAATTCATTCATTTTAGCTTCATAATAACAGCTTAGGGTCCACTAGAACCAACAGTGTAGTTTTGGACTTGTTGAGGAATGTGTAAATGTTTGAGGTTTTATCTTGAATTTATGCATTTCTTTTTAATTTCCTTGTATTCATATTTTACTTCAAAACAATAGACCTATAGGTCTACCTAGATGATTTTTTCAGTCAAACAACATAGAATTTGATGCTTTTTCCATTTTCCATATTTCTTAAAACATTATCAATAATTAGTCATCCAACTTTTTTTTTTTGTTCAAGTATCTAACAAAATTTTCACTCTTAAATGCTGTTTGTTGTCTTAAATAATATGGTACCACATGCTGTGATCCCCATAATACCCTGACTGGGTGCCAGGAAGCCAATGAAAAACTAAATGCATTACTAGGTCACTTTGAAATACATCCTAAATAAATGGGCTACCTCATTATCCCAGTCTTCCCTTACCCTTAGCTGAATCAAGACTTTTACCATTAGACCCATGACTACTTACCAGTCTGGCCTACATCACTCTCCTCCATACAGTGAACAACACTACTATTGTGCGAATTGATGCTGCAGCACAGCCACGTCATTTTCAGCCTCTGCCATAGGTCATCGATACCCACGCAGCTGCAGGACGACGACAGCATTGCCACACTCGTGCAAACTGTCATAACTCAATTCCAGAGCGCGAGGCTTGCCGTCATCATCTTTCCCGTCTGACTAACTTGAGAGGAATGTGGAGACTGCCGAGAAAAAGTCTAACTAACATTTCAAAGAAGCGCGAGGGTCAGCTTTGGAGAGCCTTTGGGATGGCACTTGCACTGAGGAAGAGGTGCTCTCCAACACTTTCAGCAAAAGAGGAGACAACATATTGGTGAGAACCAACTCCTTCAGTAGGTCACCGGCATATCAATCAGACCCAGCCGAGATGCGTGCGAGTGCGACAATCTCTTGTCAATGAGATGTAACGAAAGCTAATCACTGCTTACGAGGCAATCAAGTCACGCCCTCCTTGGCTGGCTTTGGTTGCTTAGGCTTACACTTTCACTGCAGCTCCTCCATCCTTTCATGAACGATTATCATTTCTTCTTTTCATAAAGATTTAGTAATCATAAATGATTATATATATATTCATCTTATACATGTACACAAATTGCTGCCTCTCAGTTCGCATTTTAAACTGTTATAGCAATTATATACATTATTTCATTGGCTCTATCAATAAAGTTACTGCCTGGAATAAGGAAATATGTTTTTTTTTTTTTTCAGAACTATGTGGGAAGAGATGAAGAAATGAAGAAAAACAAGAACAAATTTGGTTAAGCTCTCCTAACAGAATATAATTTAAAGATTTTATACCAAGGCAATATTCTTAAGAAACTACACCTTCTCTTTACCCCCCCCCCCCCCCCCGGCACTCACATGCAAAAAAACAAGCTAGAACTTCTTACACATCATAATTTCTAAACATTCAGAGTTTTCAATGAGTCGGCCTCTTACTGTATGACTTGCTTAATTATGTTGAATCATGTTGATCACGGCCTCCTTGTTTATTGCTGATGCTTAACACAAGATGTTTAACTAAGTGTATAAATGTTAATTATATGAAATATTATTAGAGATTACTTTTTGTTTGCCACCTGCAAAAGATTTCTAGCAAGTCTGTTGGCAACTAGAATATTGAAAATAGATCAAAAAGACATTTTTACTTCAACAAACAAAAAATATCTACTGGGAAAAATCAAATCACAAATCAATAAAAAGAAAAATACTAATATTGTAGTATCCATCAGTTTTTCCAACAGTAAATGTACAATGGAAGTTTCATAGACACCTGGTGACGTCTAATCACTTCATGCCCCTAGGCCCTGGTTTGCCAGCATGAAGCCTCGAAGATCAGGTCAACGACCAGAACAAGAGCTTAGACGCAGAGTGGTATGTGCTGAGCCACGAGAGTTATGCCAAACTTTAGCAAAAATTTTATGTTATGAAATCTGTTATCTATAACATATAAAATTATATTCATACGTCAACAAAACTCTTGCCCTAGGATTGTTATCAGATGTTGACGGTTGTAGATATTCTCATCACGCTTGTCAATTACAAGCAAAAACAATAATAATGAAAACAAAAAGGAGAGATCTTAAAACTGATATTGTAAAAGAAAAGAAAAGAAAAGAAAAAGAAGAAGAAGAAAAATCTGTATTTAACTAACTACTAATATTTTGTTTACAATCAGAATAAGGTCAATAATAACAACAACAACAACAACAACAACAACAATAATAATAATAACAACAATATTAAAACATGTATAAAACCCTATAAAAGAAGATCATCATCATCATTATCATTAATCCTATGATAAAAACAGCAAGTCTTCATTCTCCTACTCCATAGTACACTATGAAACACTAAAAAGCTAAATCTAGTCCATAAATCATTACCAATTAATTGTAAAAAATGAGATAATGAATAAACCCAACAGCATGAATACCAACTTTATATAAAATCAATACCTGTGGACCCAGTCAGAGGGTGCTATCAAACCTACTGGAATCCCTTTTATATAACAGGGGATTATCTAAACTAAAATATTATAAAAAACAAGTTGCATTACATTACAAGGTATAGCCAAATCTTGTTAACTATCTCCATAGTTATCTGATAACGGTGCATCGTCAAAAATTACAGATAGGTACATTATTCAAGGTCTTGTATTATTTTATCTTACTTTTTGTTATTTAAAGAAAACTTCTGAGTACAAGCTCTTACATTTGTCCATACCAACAAGAAGAAATAAATAAACAAAAAAACATGATCAACTTCTGGGAGAACAGAACTGATATGTTGTTTTGACTGCACATGCAATCTTGCAAATTCCTTGAAGATGTATCATATGCAACCAGAAGGAGTACAAAACAAGAAATCTGGGGAATAAAAAAGAAAATCACCATATCTGGTACCTTCCTTGACAAGCATAAACACATTCCCTCTCACTCAATGTTATGCTCTCCTTACTCAACTTCTGCACAAGTCTCATAATCACTTCTTGAGGCACAGAACATGTCCTACTATGTTCTGTAGACCACCACTGACACATTCCAACACTCCATGTCACACACCTAACCAACTGGCATTTGCAATCGCCCACAAAATACAGAACTAAAACTCCTGTCTCTTTCAACAACACTGCCCAACATTTCACCAACAGAATCAATACTTCACTGAATGGTGCACTGGACAACACCACAATCCCTCTCTACAGCCACTCACATTTTAACAATAAGGCAGACGCATGAGGCCTTTGATTATTGCCTGTTTTTGGCCTCCCTTATTTTGGTAAACAAGTCCACTTCTATTGGCTAATCAATATGGTTGCCTAACAACAGAGGCAGGTCAGCTTGGTATGGGACTCCCACCTACACTCCTCCTCCATGCACAGAACTTGAAGTGCATGATCACAAGCAGTGTCTTCATATTGCATTGCACTACACTGGGCTTTTGACTCCCTCTGTTCTTGAGAGGAAGTTGAACTTACAGAGAGGAGATAGGGAAGGAGGAAAAGTACATATACAAAAAACTACAAATAGAAAGAGTGGGAAGGGGGGGAAATATGCATGATACAGCTA